GACATTTAAAAAATATAGTTAAACGTAATTCGCTAAACTTTCTCAGTGCGTTGGGTTGCAGTGTAAAGTAACATGATTTTTCTCAAAGGTACTACATAATAGTTTCAAACGATGTGAGAATGAAACTAGCAATTTTTCCCTCCAATACAATCAGCTTTGTGAAGATGATTCATTTTTCTCGACCTCCAGGTGCCCGGCAGCACTTTTCACCCTTCAGACAGTTTTATTTAGCCAGGTCCCGTTGCTTTGAGATGCTTTGGATGCTTTTTCTCTGTAGTTATATCATGAGGTCATACAACGGCTAGTTGGGTTGTGTTGTTTTACTTGGAGTACAGAGGGAATTTTAACGGTATCAGTCAATTCAGTATCATGGTTGATTACTTATGGTACTATTAGGAGTCAATGCCTCTGTCCCAGTGTCCACTTCCAGATGTGGTCCAAAAAAACACCCTTAGTCGCCAGAAGCCCCCTTTTGGCACAGATTTTGGTTAAGCTAAGGAAGCCAATCCGTAATAAGAATAAACGAGAAGTAATAAATATGGATTTTGTCGTCCAGAAACAACACACTACTCACAAGGTTGCTGAAAACTACTCAACAACCCACAGAATGATTTCACCCTTCTCGGAGCTGATCAGGTATAGATGGTCCCTGTGTATGAGCAATGTGTTAAGTCTAGACAATAATGTATTGGAATATCTCGAATAGTATGCCAAGTATGACATGAGATGGCTTGGGACGGTACACTCATTTGAGGCAGACCTTCACAAATGAAAGGTTTAGCTGGACTCAGTTGATTCCCATATCAAAACCGAATTCGTTTGCAAATGTGAGTGTTCGTTGAAATCTGGAATGTATGCTGCAATCGAACTACACCTATGCGTAAAAAGTGGAGGGGCAGCGAGAAATTGTTATGTTTTTACTGAAAGCAACCAACGGCCCTATAGTAGTCCGAAGTCTGTACCATTCTACTGTGAGCGGTTGGTCAACAACGTGTTTGATGTGCGTTTAGGCGGGACATATTTCTTTCAAGGAGTTGAAGTCACTTAATTTTGTGTTCAATGGCTTCTTGAACGATGCATCCCAATGCTGAAGCATTCCAACTTATTGCTGTCCCCTTGCCAGCTTTAGGCCTTCGGGTTCGTGAAGCAGAAACGCAAGCAGCTGGCACATACGGATTGTCCTCCTGCAGAAATATTCGCTTAAAGATCACGAAAAATCCGACTTACCTGAACCAGTTACTATATAAGCATACTATCCATCAAAAATAATTCAGCGCACGACCGTTGAGACAAGCACTTGCATCTTGTAAAGTGTATATAGAGGCCTCGGGAACTCTAGGAGGCCCGGTTGATCTTGGTAAAATGTACTGCTAGGAGAATACTATTGGATTAGTGGCTTCGTCGTATTTACCTAGGTCATATGATTTTGTTAGTTCAGGAGGCCTAGCGCATACTTCTTCCCTTGTGTTGAAAAAACTGAAGAACCTGGTTTTGGACGAAGCTAGACAACGATTCCACCCATGGAATCTTGTAACTGAGTGGCAGTTTCTGAAGTGTTGTTCTTCTCATTTTACAATACTCTCCGGTCCCACAAGGGCGTTAAATTCGAACGTCTTCCTCAACCATTGAGAAACCTCAAACGAGGCAGCCCTGTTTCTTTACTTGGGGTTTATTCCTCTTAGATGAACGAAATGATTGACGGGGGGCAGAAGTCAACAAACACAATGTGAATGGTGAGTGCCAGTTAGTTTCCCTGACTTTCTAGTTTGATTTCCGCGTACGCTTATAAGCCATTCTTCACATCAACGGAGTTACTTGGGTCGGTTTCCTGAAACACTAATCCGAATGAACTTATGTGCTCAAAGGGTGGCAAGCATGGAAGAATCTCAAGTAGATGCATCTTAGATGATAATAAACATATCTTAAGCGATATCTCCCAAAAGTAGTGTCTGATAAGAATAGTCACGTAGGCCCCATACTTGATTAACTGAAATTTTATTGGCCATGTAGGTGTTTCAGGTGGTCTTGCTCGATTTGGTTTCACCCCACATGGGCGTGGAAATATTTTATACACCCGCACACACAAGCGACTAAGCGACCATCACCAGGCTCCACGACCCAACGTTTCATAAACCGAGTGATGGAATCACAGACTGGCTGTCTGTGACAAGCTAGTCACCAACCCTCAGTGAGCGCCCAACACGCCACAAATCGACAGGTATACGTTGCTTTTATCAAAATTACTTCACTGCATTACCCTAGCTACTTGATGTGTTTGTGAACGATTACTTTGAATACCAGAAAAAAGGGTTATTCCTCCCAAAGCCACTTATTTGTATCAGCTGTTGAGATATTCGAAAATACTTGAGGCGATATCAACCCAGGAATCTGACATCAATTTTGTGCTGTAGAAGGCAAGACACCTGGTGGGTTTCCTCAGGGTGCAACAAACATGCTCGCGGTTCGAACATACTGGTACAACTGGAGCAGATGTCTCGACTGAGGATACCTCAGCACATAATCGTTCTGTCACTAACTCTATGACAAACAGAGATAAGAATCAAGTGGATATTGTGAATTGAAGATCCCAATGCTAGAATAAAATGGCCACAAATACCTTACTAAGTTCCGCAGGAATGACTGGCGTGTTAAATACTGTTACTCATTGTGCATAGGTTCAGGTTCAACCCCACTACCACAACACGGTACAGTCATAATTTTGGTGATTTGCACCCACCCCGGCAAAGTCTTAAAATCCCATTTCTGAACATTATCTGCTCACTATTTTCACCATCTGAGAACCGACGTAACTGCCAATACTTCCAAATTAATGACGTTTTTTTGAAATGGTATGGGGTTGATTTTGGTTGGTCGGTCTATTCAGGATCATTTTTTCCACTGCAGATAAAATGTTCCACGTAGAGGTGGCTAGATCATTTCTTGTTTGGAAAATACCGCGGCATCACTCATAGTCATGAAAAAACAAAGATAATGTTCTTTGCTTTATAAGTAGGTTGAAACTTTGACTATTTATAGTAAAACTCTATATGAGTCGCTCATTCCCACAAACAAACGTGTCCCGAATTTCCATGTCATGGCTACAAAAACACCACACGGAATTGCCACAGTCTGGATGCAACTGGGTTAAGAACCAGCTCCAGAGCGTGTGAACTTTGAAAATCACATTCGAACTTGGTAAAAAAAATCCAATCGGGTAGCGTTCTTTGGGGGAGGGCTGAGAAAAGGCGTGAACTGTAGAACTTGACAGATGGAACTAAAGGATTTGTCTACACCTAATCGAAAGGCGTGAACTTAGAACTTGACAGATTGAACTAAAGGATTTGTCTACACCTAATCGAAACCGTGTAAATCCTGATAAGAAACAATAGAAGATTAACAGAAATGGGTCTTTAGACGATCTTAAGGGTGTTTGACTCCCTGCATATTGTGTCATTTCGACTTTTCTCGTCACAGGCGCCTTACATAGCATCCACTGGAGGCCAACTAAATGCATTGTTAGGTTTTCCCTATCAGTTTCTCTGACCTGGATTTGATATTTTACTCTCGGGCTTTAACTACAGTATCCAACTGAGAATCAGAGTAAGTCATCCTGATACTTCATAGCAACCCGGAAGTAATTAGCTAACAACAACATCACTCTCCAACGAGCGCCCAAATCATCTTTTTAAAAGTGGTCTCCTCGGTGAAACATTTTTACTTACACAGACGCAAGTTTGAGTAAACCCAAGTTGTGTGCATCAAGGGGGACACTTGAGTTTAAGAGGTGGTGAGCAGGAACCCACGACAGAGGGGCTGTTTAATGACAGACGTTTTCATTCTATATTAAACGTCCAGTGTAGTTGCAGCGGCCAGGATACAAAATATGACACTTAAGAATAGGATACCCTTGTCATCACTCCTCAAGTATGTGAATGCTACGTTACTTACATGTGATGGAAAGGGGGATCTAATGTCAATTCGAAAAGTGATCTAAACTGCGGAGCCTCCGAGTGACCTTTTCATATGGGAGGGGTTGGATTATTAACTACCACTGTATTGCAACAAAGACTTCCAGGTGGTCCGGTAAGAAGTAGTGCACGGGAATCTAACACATATCGGAAAATACAGTTTTTTTATATATTTAACTAGATCGGATAATCTTCTGACTACTGGTCGATAGTCAAAAACTTCCGTCTCATCAGACACTGGTCCACATCAAGGGATTACTTGTTAACTGTCAAGCGATGAGCTTGCAATTTTGCCCCATTTTTGACTGAATGCATTTCTTAAACACTCCTGTCCAAAGCTGTCTATTCCGGCGTCCGGTTACTGTATGTGTATCCTCCAGCTTCGTGCAGCTTATAATCGAATGCTCTCCATAATGCGTTGTTTATTCAACAAAAAATTGGAACTAAGCACAGATAAAACACCAGAGGGAGTGGAATTTCTGAATTGATGGCCACTCCGGTAGATTCCTGGAATTCAACCTGAAACGAGCGAAGTCAGTAAACTTACGACTGTGTCAACATTTCTTGTTAACTGCGAGGTCACTTTGAATGTACCGGGGTGCTGAATGTTGAACACTGTAGGATTTTAAGGGTTGAATTTTGTGCTTGACCCCGCTGTCATTTTATGGGAGGCGAGACAAGACTAATCGTTCAAATCTGGCTATTCTGATTTCTGAGACAACTCTGATTCGAGACAGTCCATTCCCTTACCCTGTATCATTCGGCTGTCGATTTGGTATTTTGGTTGCCAACACACTTATGGGTTTACGTGTATGGAGGAGAGGCCGGAAATTATGTTTCCGTTTAAGTGAGTGCTCCCAGTCAGTCGGTGGATAGAATCCAATCGACCGTATTTAGGTGGGTGGATACCCTGTCTAACCAACAATTTTCGATACAAAAGTACATGGCCACAACAAAGCAAGTTAGGAACGTGGAAACTGATCAATTCTGTACTTACAGACTAGGGAAGCAGCATCAAAAAGGCGTACTTACCGGGGCCCTCGTGCTTCCAACTCAAGTCTTCAAAGAATGCAGCATCTTCTAGCATGAGGAAAAGAAGCGATCCTGATCGGCAACATTTTCTGAGAGCTCTAGATCTATCCCGTGAATAGTTGTTGTGCTGCCCGTCTGGTAGTGTTCGAAACGTTGAGCTTTGCAGAATAGAGAAGCAGTCAACTTTCTACCTGTTCTTGATACTGCCTACATATTTTCGATTCACCTCATTGTTTCCGATGTAATACTGTTCAACTCTTGTGTGTACGTCAGGCTGGTGAGATGCAGAATGTGGAAGTTAAATTCGACATGGCCCGTAGAAGTTGATATCACACTGAACAGAGAGTGCTGAACAGACTGTTAATCACATGATCCATTCCTAATGTTCCGTTTCCCCCTATTTGGGATTTAGCAATGTGCCTTTGGAGATGTCGTGCATCCGTACAAAAGCCAATGAAACGTAGCTTGTTTTCTTTTGGTTGAAACGCGTATTTTGAACATTATTTCATGTTTTGTTATGCAGAGTCAGCAGAATAATTGAAAACCAAGAGCAACCCACCCCACCCATTCCGGTTGTATGCAGTTGGCATGCTTAATGGGATTTTTCTTATTAATAAGGCGAGTTTGGTTGTACTCAAAGCAAACGTTTGCTGATAGCGTTAGGCAGCGATCGAATTTAAACCAAAAAATCGCCCTTCATTTCGCGTTGGACATGATTTACAAGGTGACCAATTCTCAACTTACCCAAAAGTGTTACTCATCAATAGTATGGTTTCCATCATATTAAATGTCATCCACTTGATTCTACAGAGACTGAGTTTAGAGTTTTACTGAATATTTACTCAAAGGCTGCCAAAGAAAAGAACGGTCCATGGCAATCCTATTCCGTTCTACCGATGGGCTCCAATAAAGGGGAACGTCTTGGTGTAGAGGAAGTTCTTGAGATTCCATTGTATGCTTCATGGTAAAATCCGGCAAAGCTGTATGTCCAGGGTTTGTCAATCATCGCCCCCCACGTGAGGATCGAGGGTCGTTCAAAATGACCATTCTTGTATCAGGGGTTAACATTTGGTCAAACTGAGAATGACATGTGAGCTTCGCAAAGTGAGTGTAAATGAAGTGTAGAGACTACTCATTAGGTTGCTGAAAACTCTTTGACAGTCAAGGACCTTTAGGGGTTCATCAGATAGCCATACGAACCAAAACATGAGGTGCTCTCCACCTGTTCATTTGAAGAAGACCATCAAAAATGAAAGATACCGCTAGGATTCAGGTGAGTCTGCTGTGAAAACCACATTCGTGTCCAAATGTGCACAGCTGGAGTGAGGTAAAACTTTCTGATATTGACCGAAGACATGGCTTGAAAAAACAAAAGAACTCTGTGTTTGGATTAGCCTTGGATAGGTCTCACAACCCCTCTGAGTGATTCGGTCTATAGAAAATAGTCAGCCGTGCTCGTTGTTGCTGTAATTAAAAACGCTCAAAAGATGAACTCAATGAATGTCAAACACCACTTGTGACTTCCACAATTAAAATTTAGTGCGGTACCACTTTGCTTTCTGGCTTTTTTGCATAACGGGCTAGTGGTAGTTGAGTGATGAGTACTGAACAGAAAACCCCGGGACAAACTATCCTGAAATGCCTAACTGTTTGAACGGCTTGTACACTCACAAAATTCTTCTGTATACAATACCTTTCGACATATTATACAAATTACTAATATTTCCAATCTATTCCTTGGCTTTTACCTCAAGACTGATTTTTAGAGACCAATCCCAGCACTCTGTTTCCGAATAAATTCGGCAGACAATTTACCACACAGGTTCGATCTTGATCTCCACGTGGAGGAAAACGGGAGGAATTTGGTTTTCGTATACGAAAAATCAGCCGTTTCTTCCAGACCAAACCACCCTAATGACTGATGTCTGATGTCACCTCTGTCCGCAGCTCCCGTGCTGGAAACAGTTCACTCAGCCACACAGACCCTTCTCGCTCTAAGCAGTCCGTCCATCCATCACTGGCTGTCAAATCTGACAGGCCATCTTGCTTACCATTCGACTACATGCAGTCGTGTTCTTCTCCGGTTACTGGCACGCGTCTATCTATCATAGCAGCTCAACTGTCAGTTTGTCAAAGTTTAGAAGGGCTATCAGCAACCATTTTGAGGCATAGAATTCGAAGTGTTGACTCCCCAACTTCGCTGCACACACACACACGCATGGAGGAAAAGAGGGGTGAAACTGCCACCAAAACGTATATACAACCCATTTATAAAGTTGCCCAGTTCCAATTCACCCCTAGTTGGTGTTCATGTATCTTGTCTAAAACATTGCATGTGTGTGTGTGTGCGTGTATGCTGGTATTTTAGGTCTTAGAACTGCATCCAGGACCACATCTTTCAACACCCTACAAAGTTGAGAGAATGTGTGGACACTAGCAATCCAGGCAGTGACGCCTGTTCACGGTTTGACAGCTGCAATGAATGTGCCACTGGGGTCAGCCGTCAGCCAGATTATGCCAACCATGAAGGACTCTGGACTGTGACATGTCAAACATTGGTGATTTTAACGCGAGAAATATGGGCAAAGACGATGGGCAACACAATGTCGGGTTGGTCAGATTGCAATTGTGTTAGGTATACAGTGTAGTGCGATACGCACAGGGAGAGCAAGGGTAGGCGTGTATGTGGAATAGACGTGCTCCAGCTGACAGTGACTGTCAACTTATCAAGGTGTTGAAAGCACACAGAATGAATGCCCCCAAGACGTCGTGGTTAGTGCTGGTTACAGACCGTAGCATCTGAGAAAACAGTGATACACTCAAAGAGACCGTGATTTTCAGCTGACAGATTCTGAAAAAAATGAAGCTGAATTAGAAAATGAGTAATCAAAGAAACCTGACCGTAGCACAGTAAAACACAATTCTGATATCTAGACGTTTTATTCAGAGCGACGGCCGGCAGCATTCACTCAACAAATACTCTCATTCGCACACGAATTTAGCCTTGTTATGAGAATCACCTTAATTTTCTGTTAACGATGGTGCGATTCAACACAATGTGTTGAACCGGGCTATTTCACGTTTCGGTTGGTATGATTTCCGATTTGCTGAAGCAGATTTTTTAGACGTGGCACACTACTCGTAACGTTGTGAGTAGCGTGTCGTGCTTAGCAGAAATTCAGTTCTCCTGAGATGTTTCTCCCTGTGATTGACATCCGAACAGTTATCATTTTTGAGCTAAGACCAGAGATTTCAAAAACACTCTTAGATGCGGAGGTTTGCAAATCTTTGTTTGCGCCAGGTTAGAAGGAAAGTTTCAAACGATGCCTCTATCACGTAGGCGCAGTCGTTGAGTTTCCCTCCGGCTTTTGTTCTCCTTGGACCCGAATTAGAATGATTTCGACAGATACATTCATCTGTATATCAAGCTGATTTTCACGGCAGAATTTGCTATTTGAGATGGTACGATATTCGAAATATCGTCGTATATTTTGATAAAGGAAGCTACTCACAAGGCTGCTGAAAACCCTCCGACAGCTCACGACTGCGGTATATCGAACAACCACTTACCAAGTGAAACCTAGGTGGCCTTTGCGCAGCACATCCAGTTGAAGAATGTCATTAAAAGACAAGAGATTCAGTTGAGTCTGCCATTGAAACTAAATTGATATGCAAATGAATGTATTTGTCCAGAGCTCTACCAGCTGTGTTGATCACGTGATACCTGAGTTGCCGAGGGCTAGCGCATCAATCCAATTTTCCCCACTTTTCATACTAAGTGCCACTCAAGTAATCTAAGTGGAGATAGCTTCCACATACTTTTTAGTCTCTGTTTTGTCTTCACTTCGATTATCGTCCTGCTAAATATGTACCGAAGTGTTTACCGGACACGGGACTTGTCAAGAAGGGGGCTCTATTTGCGCGCTGTTCAAATCTAAATTTCAGGTACTTTGCTTTTAAGGGTCATCAGAGTTCTTGTAAGGAGAAATAATCACAAGGTAAGAGCGCTGACGCATACATATAACGAGCTTTTACCTAAATGATGAAGTCATTTAGGCGACTAGACAATCTCCTGTTATTCCTATGATTGGTTATTTAGATGCGAGTCTACGCAACCTAGCGGCCACCAGAATTGTGAGAAGAAGATTCCGTCTTGCCGACCAGTGAACGACTTCAGGATAGATATAGGATTAGCAGATTTCTCGCGGTTTATTAATATTACCGCTACGGGGCTCAGAAAGAATGCCTTTCGGGAAAAACAATGAAGGCCATCTCGTTTATTTGCCGGTATGTCAAACCAGAGATATGGTGAAAGGCAGCGGTGTTCACCGATTCAGGAAGAACATGAATTACTTTATTAACGAGTGACTCTTCTGTTTTCTTGTCAACGAAACAACAGTCCATTGGCTTCGGCCGGACTGGGATCACTGCATTCGGGGCAAGATTATGGAAAAAAAATTTACCTTGAGTGAACCAGGATCCAATAGAATACAACTAAATAGGCCCTATAGAAAACGCCTGTGAGTGAACTCCTAGTCTGTCTCTTCGAATACGTTTTCAGATTCAGATAAAGACCGCTTAGGAAGATGAATGAGTGATGGTTAACGACCGCATTTTGTCAGATAACGGATGCTGGACGGTTGAACAAAGGGTTTACACGAACAGAATTCATAGTAGAGGGTGTTTTGTCATGTGGGGCCTATAGCTGTAGGATGAGATCAGATTGATCGCACCAGATTGGGAGCTTCCCACGTTAAGATGCCCCTTGAACAAAGCATTTAGGCGAAGAGTGTATACAACTGTAACAAAATCTTCGCTGCCTTTGGCAGTGATCCGGGATGCATGAAGTAAATTAGGAACCTTGAACCTCAGCAGATTTTGAGCTGCCAAAATTGCTGCTATTCGTTGATTTAATAACAATGGACATTTTAAAAAGGTGGCCATTTCCCATGGCCCGTTTATGTACAATCCAGTTCGAACTTTATGACGTACGTTTACAACCTGAACACCTAAAGTTAAAGGGGTACAGAGAAAAAGAAAACACGAACAATACAATAATATTTGTCACGCCCGATGGAAATAAATCTCTAACCCGAACTGTTTGGATGTCACGATTTTCAGTCGGTTGTGAAGATATTTCCCGGGGAAGAACTTCCGTAGTTTAGCATAAAACACAAAATATATGGGCTTTCGGAGAGTTTTCAGCAACCTTATGAGCAGTATACTACATCTTTAAAGAGAAACAGTCCATTACCAAGGTGATTTCTCTCCAACGATATTCCACCGTAAAGGAGTTGAGGTGGAAATGTTGATGATACACTGAGTGAGTAGGAATTGGTATCAGTATTCTAACTAATTCCCTTAAGAGGGAATACCTGTTGCCCATTGAGTAACTGTTAAAAGAATCCAGAAGGCTACGACACACAACAATTCAGAACCGTGGCTGATACTTTGATGTCGCGAATCTTGGATAATTATTCTCCTTGTTCCAGTGAAATCAGATCAGCTGTGGAAGCTTAAAGCAAACACAAGCAAAAAGAAACCTGATCGGACCGAATCGATGAGAGAAACAGCAACTGGTAATGCACAAAAGCATAAGGTCAGCTGAGTACAGAAGTCACATTACAGTCCGTCACTTACACTGACCAGACATCACATACAAGCAGTGGCTGGATAAACCGTTCTCACCAGTACCACTACAAGAGAACTTGTAGAGTTATCTCAGCTTCAGTGAAGAATTCCAAACCAAACAAACGTTCCCTGGTTTGCATACACTTGTGCAAATAGGTCGACTGTTTTTCCATTGCCCTGATTAATAATTTAAAATCACTATTTGAAAAAATTCGTCGCACTATCCTCTGTATATACTACAAAGAACCTCGAACACAAATTGTTCAAGAAAAAAGGAGGCAACAAGATGCTGAAAACTACTCAGTGGTTTGGATAAAGGAGCACTATCCTGAGTTCCGGAGGAATCGCAAAAAGTAGCCGGGGAAGTAGTCCTTTTGACATCATCATCGATTCTAAGTGTGGTACCTCGACATACCGGCAGTTTTCCTCTGTGCGCATGGAATACCAAAAATCTAGGAACGCATATCCTCCATACCTGGTGAGGAAAAGGTACGAAAAACACTGAGTTACCGGCACACCAATGAGGATGAAATTCTGTGCACCACACAGTCTGACAAAGCAGTATTTCAACAATACGGTCGAGCCAATACTGTCTTCAAACTTGTCGCATGTGAATTAGGTCTATTCGGGTGACCCAGTTCCGTGATAATAGGTCCATCAGGTTGATTGCTTGATCAGCTGTCCAACAAGTTTCCTGTGAGGCTTCTTGATTGCAAAGTCCATTGTTGAATGCCATAACCACCGAGAACTTCACATTCACACTGATCACCTGAAATTCCCCGCGCAAGGTGTGAAAACCCTAAAAAGAATGTCGCCTTTTGAGCCAGAATGAAGGGTAGAACTTCAAACATCAGCTTTTGGCTGCCACAGTCAAACGCTTTGATTCTGATGCGTCGCTAACCGACCTGTCCAGTTAAACCTTGAAATAATATTTCGCTTTGCATCCGTTAAATTATTGACATAATTGAAAAAATTTAACACCAGTAACTGGTTGAAAGTTTTCTATTGAATTTTCATTAAAATTGATAATTTTGGTACCACGAGCTGAATTGAACCAGAGGATAACTGAATAGCTGGATGCAAGAAAACCCAGTCACGGTTAGAGACATACTGAACCTCTATATGACTTTTTATGTGGGTATCGAACACGATGAGACGTTTATTTCTGGCTGCCATTTATATCAAACTTCCCTCTAAGTGTACAACTGAGTCTAGTCGCGCGTGAGTTGGTACGATCGCGACGAAAACCTTAGTTTGAACGGTATGTTTGTATCTTCTTTCTTCGGCCTTTCTATCACTGAAAACAGAACCAACCTAAGCGGTAAAGTTGCAGAAAGCTTCTAAAATACACAGAATCTTGATTAGAATTAGTTTCTAAGAATACTAGTAAAGAAACTATTGGCATTACAGATGATCCTTGCGTGTCTAACACATTGACCATAACTTAAGCTTGAAGTTCAAGAGAGGGTCCCAGTCATTAATAAACAGAGCAAAAACAAACCCTATATGACCCAAGTCTTGAAAGTCTTCCCAACTGCACTAAAAAAAGTTTGGTCCAGCAAAATCGGCAAGCGCATAAATGTTGAGTAGCTGCACAGATGTAGGAAAAGTTTATTTATTTCCAAATTCATTCGCATGGAATAGATAAAGATCCTGTAAGATGACAAGGTCTAATGTCAGATAGGCAAGCGCCCAAATAACTTTTAAGTGGTGAAATACCGAAATAACAGTACTGCTTACTCACTGAGTATAAAGTGATCCACGCAGAGCGAAATACATTTACATAATGTGTAGCTAACTTCATCAAACAAACCATAACGAGCAATGCACACTTCGGTCTCCCAACACAGTGGTGGGAGCAATAATCGATCCCATTGAAGTCGAGTGGATCCTATAAGGGTGTAACGGCGAATACTACTGATGAGGCATGTGAGTAGTATATGGTTTTCTCTAAGCTCCGTTCCGTGCCTGATCGAAGGTGTGGTTTATTACGGAACTTGAGGAACTGCTTTCCACCGTTCGTTTACAATCGCGTGATAGTCAATGAATATCAGAGAAAGTACAGTAAAACACGTGAAAATGGTCAGTTTTTAAAAACTATGTAAAATAGTTCGTAAGTGTTTGGTAGGCGTTTGTTGATGAAGGACTTCGCGGCGAAGTGCAAACCTCCTTACACAGGTAAAAGATTTTACTCACTACGCACTGTCCACATCGAATATCTGCCCACCATTCTGAGTAACTAACACGCTACACAAAAATTGATACTCGTGAAAGACCCGATCACGCCTTAGGACCACCAGCCATGTCTACGGGCTTGATTGTGCTGACTGCTTTCCACCGTTACAATCGCGTGATAGTCAATGAATATCAGAGAAAGTACAGTAAAACACGTGAAAATGGTCAGTTTTTAAAAACTATGTAAAATAGTTCGTAAGTGTTTGGTAGGCGTTTGTTGATGAAGGACTTCGCGGCGAAGTGCAAACCTCCTTACACAGGTAAAAGATTTTACTCACTACGCACTGTCCACATCGAATATCTGCCCACCATTCTGAGTAACTAACACGCTACACAAAAATTGATACTCGTGAAAGACCCGATCACGCCTTAGGACCACCAGCCATGTCTACGGGCTTGATTGTGCTGACTGTGATCACGTCTACATTGGGCTAAGCAGTAGACAACTAAAGAATTGAATCAGCGAAGATACACAGCACTCTAGAAAACAAAATATAGGGTGACTCAGCAAAAGTACTCCATGTTCCAGCTGAAAACCTTTCGCTCAGTTGTGATAACGTTTAGATATTTGGTCAAGTTGTGGATACGCATGTATGCAGGCTCTGTATCAAATCAGCGGCGACCCCCACGACACCTTCATAACTCATCAGATCCAATGGTATAGAGTTGCGTCCTATCCGGACCTCTCTATCTCAGTACACACTTAGCCGACCAAGCACAACAGGCTACTAGTGAACAGACCGTTCCATCCGAAGGTCAAGAGTTGTCGGCTGTTCACATATTTTAACGGGCACGTACGCTCATCCACAAAGAGGCTATGGAGCGCCAACTACAGCTGACGTGGCAGCAAATTGACCGAGTTCAGACATTCCGTGTTGCAATGTTATGGTCTTGAAAAAGTGTTGGGTAAGGGGTAGCAGAAAAAATCTGACAGTTTCATTCGTTCGTTGTGCAATCACCAATATTTTCACCATAAACTGAGACTCGATCTCTGGCAGGGAATGATATCATTATGTATCCTTCATAATACTGACTAATAAATAAATGACTCCACCTTTAAATAATATATGTATCAGAAGCAAATTTCACAGATGTGAAGTTTTTTGCTGTTCATAGAAGGCACAACTTACGTAGAATCCAGCTTCAGCTCTATTTCCCCGAAGGATAAATGAGTCTGAGGACTTCTTTGACGATTGTTCCTTTTTAGACTTTCATGGAAACCTTAAAGTGTAACAACACCTGGCATCTCATTCTTAGGTTGGACACGATCGCCAAACTACTGCATTGTTCACATATTTTAACGAACACGTACGCTCATCCAAAAAGAGGCCATGGGGAGCCAACTACACCTCACCTGGTTGCACATCGTCCGAGTTCAAATCTCGCTTGTTACAATGTTATGGCCCTGAAAAGTGTTGGATTAGGGGTGACAGGGAAAATCTGACAGTTTCATTCGGCAAACTCATTGTGCAAACACCAATATTTTTCACTACAATATGACACTCAATCCCTGGCAGAGAAGCGTGTCACTATGCATCCTTCACAATACTGGCTGATAAATAAATGAACTCACCTTTAAACAATGTATGTGTCGGAAGCAAATTTCACAGATGTGAAGTTTTTTGCTGTTCATAGAAGGCACAACTTACGTAGAATCCAGCTTCAGCTCTATTTCCCCGAAGGATAAATGAGTCTGAGGACTTCTTTGACGATTGTTCCTTTTTAGACTTTCATGGAAACCTTAAAGTGTAACAACACCTGGCATCTCATTCTTAGGTTGGACACGATCGCCAAACTACTGCATTCTCATCCACTGTCAACAGAAGGACGTCGTCGGGTTTATGCTGCGTCAGTAATTGACCTACAGCCAAATCGACTCACGTACGAGAGCGACCCCGACCAGTTTGACTGGTCTCAGCAAGCACACATGGGCCAGGCTGGTACTCACAATATCATGATGCATGGTTTGACAAGTCAACAGAATGCCCCCTCGGTGGTTGGCTGGAGAAGAAAATCCAGAATGGTACGTGCTTTTCCACGCTTACTTCTCAGAATGGAGCATTGGGTGTAATTTAGACATTTACCAGTATAAAAAACCATAACCCTCTCATTAAAGAAAATCTAGGTAGTTTTAAGAATGTCTCCAAAGGGAACCTGGAATTGTCTTGAAGTGCATCCAAAGATGAGGTGGATTTTGGAAGCACGCCAAATAATCATCAAGTGACAGTCTAAGTACTTTTTAAGTGGTTGGAATGAAATAACGCGTGACTTTCGAATGGCTGGTTGAAGGATGCATGCCAGTTTAAACTTAGGTTTTTTACGGCTGTATTGTAGAGCGGTTACAGTAAGAACTAACGTCAAGGTTTTTTCAGTAACTTTTGTTCTAGAAGCATCATTTCCAACATCTAAACCACACCAACCTTTAGCTCCGATATATCACCTTTGTCCGCAGTGTGTCACAAAGTAATTATACCATTTCCAGACGATCTGACACATTAGTGAACTTCATACAATGCGGTTTGTGATATTTCCGCTTAATGCTTTATTGCGTGAAGGAAATGTTGAATGGGTGATTTACTGCTATCCTTCTCAGTGCCGATCTTTTTACTGGTATTCCACCTTCAAAGTGTCGAATTCCGCGTGACTTCCGCGACATGAGGCGTAACCAATTTTGTGTTGTAAAGCTTACAATGTATAACATGTCTATATCCTTCATATTAACCTAACTGAATCTGAAGACAGTCTAAAGGTTTACAGTTATTTGGCTACCGTGACGGAATGGAGGTTTATTCGAATTATCCCTTCACACCACGGCATGCAAAAGGCTGGTGCACTCAGCATCAGTGAGTGGACGCCACAAGAGTCCGTTAGAAGAACCAAACAAACAAGGCACACTTGGGATTGTGTGCCAAACCTTTGCACAGCTCATAACTCGCCCCAACACGTGCTACGATGTTCGTGGACGCTTTTTTCCCTCGCTGTCCACAATCGAAAACACATTACAGACCGTAGCTAGAAGTGCACCAATCAACGACTCGTAAGGGTACGAGACTGCGCTCAACCCACACTGAGCCCACTGAAGATCTAAGAACTAAACGTTTCCTACTTGAACGGATGATTTGCCATTGGTGGTGAGAGATACACATTCTATCAATTAAAGTAAAGGTTCCTTATAATTGCTTTGAAGTGACTACCACCTGAAACGTTATTGGTCGGCCACACAAATGTTTCGGATGGACATTACCTGGGTGCGGTGATCGACTGCCGAAACCCGTGGTGGTTTTTGTGACGAACTCCGTGGAGCACATTGAGAATAAGTCTGTCTATTCCACATCAGGACCTGGTTTTCGGTTCTTCCCGGAGCTACAATACCATCCTCGAGATGTTGTACGGACAGATATTTGTATGCAGACTTCAGCGTTCTTCTTGCGTGACAAATGCTGAAGCCGTCACTGAAGGAAAGGATATATGAATTCCAGGTGGTTGATGAATCCTAGTCGTCCAAATATCTTCACGAAGAATGAATGATTTGGACCTTACTGTTTAGGAAGCCGCAAGCAATTCACCTGCCATTTGTGGTTAGCTTATTATCGAGATGAGGGCGATTTAGAGGGTTCAAAACCTAAGACTGTTTAATTTTCAACTACTCATGAGTAAGTAGCTATTCACAATGGCTTGTGGATGGGAGCTTTCAGTCGGATGAACCTAGAGCCATGGATGAGGTTTTGTTTCGAGTTTTTCATAATGTGGCATACTTAGAAGACCCCTCTGTTTCCCATCCATCCAACAACAAGCCCGTCCCATACGACCATAGTTCATGGGTGGCAGATCGACTACGAGAACGGATTGAACTTTATCGCAAATGGATGTCGCCAAAACAGTGGAAGCAATTCCTATCGGAAACGCTGCCCGGTAGAGAAAACCAACGATTCAATCTTGCTCTTTTCGAAGCTGCCTCGGTTGGCGTCCGGCGTGCTGTGGCGGAATGTCGCTTTCAGTTTCGTTATGAGAGATGGAACTGCAGTCAAAGTTCCGACGAAGACACAGCTCTCTTTGGAAATATTCTGCTCAAAGGTCAGTAAGTGATTGTGAACTTACTGTAATATGCTTGAAACCTAATTCGACTGAATAGGCCATATGCTTTGTTTATGGTGTAAAAGAAAAGTACGACACTATGTATTCAAAGAACAAATTATGCTACTTTAGGCTAGGATCAAGTAAGCCATATTTTTTTTATAAATAATGGATCCAAAGCGTCAAGAGAAACGACTATTTAACAACACAATTTGAGCACGATCACCGATTGAAAAACACTGTTTTTAGGTTATTAAGAGCGTTTTAAACCCCATTTTAGGAAGTAAATCCGATGGAACTAATATCTTACCCTGCTGAATGGTTAGGGGCGGACGGAACAGGCTGTTTTCAAGTTTAGTGCCATAAAATTTGTGTGGCGTGCTTTTGTTTACTGTGACACTTGTTAACGTTCAACGGTTTACTATCCATTATCGCTACTGATTTCCGTTCACTCGTTGAAATCGCAGGTATTCCACAAACAGCTTTCGTCTATTCCATCATTAACGCCGGTATCGTTCAGTCTGTTGCTGAAGCCTGCTTGGGACAGATTGACAACTGTCCGTGCAACAATCGTGGCCGTGAGATTTCTAGTGCTGACTGGCAGTGGCAAGGATGTGATCATAACATTCATTTCGGCAGCAAATTCTCGCGGCGCTTATTGGATACGATGGAGCGTGGATCCCACATTCGATATCGTATGAATTTGCATAACAACAAAGTTGGCCGAATGGTAAGTTATAACTCTACGTGTCCAGGACAAAAAGGTGTATTTTGGAACTAGAAGAAACAGATATTGCCCGCGCGAGAGAGGATTCTCGAAGCAGTTACTGAATTTGCGAGGGAGGAAGGGGAAACTTCGTCTTTTATTTGGCGTGCATCCATAAGTATACTGGTCACAACAAGAGCACCAGTACCAGAAATCTAGTGGTCAAACCACTTTCCTCGAAATACTTGCCTAATTTTCAAAACACTATACACGTGTGCAACTTTCAAGCGTTTTCCATTAGCAACATCCACGAAATCATACTACTGTTACGATCTGACTTTGAGTAAGTAGGCTGAAAGAAAGCTTTACCTCATCCAACTGCGAATTAATCCGATAGCTTATCAGCTTTTCCGAGCCGACAACCACTAGCCGGGAGATCGCAGATTCCAAAAGTCCCAATGAGTCCTTAGGTGCGAGTTGCCGCTGATTCTCGATAGTGATAGAACATCTCCGAAGTGTCTTTTAGCTTTTCAACAGTGGACGAAAGCTCAACTGAAATTTTCAACTCTCATCATGTCATCGAAAGTCCACAAGTGGAGAGAATGAATCAGCGTGTGAGTTCTGCCTGGAAGGCCGTTAGTTGAGAAGCTATCCAACAGGTAGCTACCTAGTGAGAAATCGTTGAATGGAAGATGAGTGGCGTTATATTCTGTTCCAGTGCGAGATGACCGCACTATTGAAGCGAAGTGGTCTTTTGGCGTGGCAACATTTACCGGACATCCGTATGAGAATCCTACAAGTAAATATGCTCATGCGTTATGTGAATCTACTGAGTAGTTATTTGTCGGATGGATTTTCAGACTGGGTCATCACTTCAGCCGACACATCATTCACATTAGGTTCACCTGGGATGGAGAACAGCTCCTTAAGGAATGCGCACAGTTTACACCCAAATAGAGCGTTGCATTATTGTCGCTGCCTGTTACACTAGTCAACGTAGGAGGGCGCTGTGTGCGCCTGTTCAGCAGAACCGTAGGCATGATCCTGCGCAAGATGCAACCAACATATACCGTTAATATGTACGCTTCCGCTAAACCATATGTCAAAGGATTGGAACAGGCTTTCATCTACAGCTGCTTTGTTAACACTTCTTTTTATGACCGACGTATGAATGAGCCCCACAACCCACAAATCATTAGTAAACGGACCTGTAGCGCCCAGAAACTCACCCAGAAACTGTTCACAGCCGATAGTTTGTGATGTGGACATTTTGCTTGTTTCTCCATAATCACTGTGATCGACTTGGAATCCGTGCATCTGACTGACGAGTAAGGGTCATTTTCTATTAGGTATACACTCTCCCGCAAGACAAAATACGTCCAACGTGCGTTGGTGGAGTAGTAGTTACACACTCGCCTCGCATGTCAGATGCCCGGGTTTCAAATCCTGGCACGGTCAATGGATATGCACTGCTGATGAGCGAAACTCGAGCCCAGTGCTTCCCTTTAGTGTGCACTCACCGGAATAATTGCGCCAGAACAGGGGGACGGCCGTTCAAACTAGAGTAGTGTGACTATGAACAAATAATGACATTGCGCACATCGTACGGCCATCACTGTTTCGGTGGAGCGATTGTCCTTTCCCGATAAGATAACCTCAAACTTATAGACGTAGTACATAACTCATTAGGTTGCTGAAACCTCTTCGACGGCCAACAACTGGTTTCACTCTTCTTGGGCTTCAGCAGGTAGGCGCAGCCCTCGAGTTTCCGTCAACCCTGTGTTCTACTTGAACCCGAATTGCACTAATTTAGAGAACTACACTCATTTTCATGCCAGTTTAGTTTTGACAGGAGACTGACCTGGAATCCAGCTGAATCTTTCGTTTATAACGTTTTGAAGCAACTAAATGTGCTGCACCACACCACCTCAACTATCCTCTCAAAACAGATTGGTATGAAAATGAGTGTATTTCGCTAAGTTCGTGCAATTTGGGTTAAAGGTTGACGGAAACTCGTGTACTTTGCCTATCTGATGAGAAGGGCGAAACCGGCCATGGACTGTCGACCAAAGGTTGACGGAAGCACGTGTACTTCGCCTATGAAGGGCGAAACCGGTCATGGACTGTTTAACAATTATCAGATACCTTATGAGTAGTGTGTTACGTCTATACAGGTAATGACTCGAATATCATCCCAACTGAAATTTCAGGCAGCTTGGTGCAGCACATTCAGTTGCTTAAAAACATCATAAACGAGAGATTCAGCTGTGTTCCAGATGAGTCTCCCGCAAATGAGTGTAGTCCACTAACCTCAACCTTATTACCTTCCATCAAGGGGTCCCTTGATTGGTTGGAGATTCGAAGATGTAGAGACCAAATATCTAGAAAATGTTATCCAGTTTTTGAACGCCATCTTTCATAAGTCATTCCAGAGACTGATCCCTACAGAACCACTTCATACTTCAACATATTGATGTGGTTCCAATGAGAGGGGACTGTTGGAACTGATCGACGCCTTGAATCCTGCGAAGAATACCTTTGAAACCCGGCTGACCAAAATATCACCCACAATCAGCTGAAACATCATCTTCGCTATATTTAAGTCGCCATGCTCCAGTTAGCCTTATTTTTAAGGTTTCATCTATCTATGCTGAAGAGTTATCGGAATAGGAAGGTGGGCAAATTTTCCACTGCCCGAGCCCAATCAAACAATTAATTAACTTTGCCGAATTGTTAGACATATTGTAAAACTGTACTTCTTCCACAAACCTGTAGGGTCATCTTTGACAACATAATAGTCTGCCTATAATGTAATGTAATGTTGGGTTTCACTACTCTGTTTTCTTAGCTGGTAACCAGAAATATGGAACGCCATTGTCGCTGCCATGGTACCAGTGGGTCGTGCACACTGAGGACATGCTACCGCCGGACCCCGAGGATGCGAACCTTGGGTAATCTTCTGAAGCAGATGTATGAGCGTCACCTAGTGCGACTCCAGCCAAGTGAGTAGATGCATTGATTTTTGGACCCATTTGCATCTTTTTGTATTGGCATGATTCTCGTTGGGATTGTCCTCCCTTGCTCCAATGCAATCATTCTGCAAAGGACGCATCAAAGTACAAAAGCACTAGATGATAGTTAAGCTCTGGGCAACAGTTCGGATTTGAAATCCAAACATTTGAGATGCAGGACGACTGCCCTACTACCACTTCTTCAGCGTAAACTAGAGGCCATTCGTTTGTTACACCGAAAACTTTCATGATTTAGCAATTCATGATTGCGACTATTGCCCAATAACTGTCGTTTTTGTGCTTTTTGTTTAACCCACCTGTCAGAACTTTACTATGAAGCCTTAAAACGTAGCAGACTGCTTTGAATACCTTACGATTGCATGTAAAAGTTTGCACTCTACTCCTAGTGGGACAGTGCTGAAGAGTTCTAATGTGAGCTCGACATGTGTTCAGAGCTTCCTTTTATTGCTTGGACTGGCCAACCAGCACAGAATAATTGTGATGTGAGTATACAATCTGCAAACACGCATCCACCGGAAGGTAATTTTGTAATTCCCAATCACGCAGCACATCCTGGTAATGAATTTCGTGGCGATTCCTAAACAACGAAAAGTATTCGGCGTCCTCATATTATGAGGGCAAGAAGAGGCCTAAATCAGAAAAATCAACAAAAAGTACTTTTCCAAAACATGGAATTTACGAACTAGGATTCCAAACGTTTAGTGTAAATCGGAGAAAATGTTTTGTTGGATATGAGTTTAACGGTATTCTAATGATATCCTTGGGCTCTTCATATCATATCATAGGGCTCTTCATCGTCATCATCATCATCATCATCATCATCGACAGCATGACATCAGTGTACAACACCAATGCTTCACTGCCGTACAACCGTGGTTTATTTGAAAGCCATATCGTAGATAAAAGAGTAAAGGTGGACGGGGGAGGGACTTGGTGCTAGCTTACCACAATCACTCCGAGGTGCCTAAACCTCCTAGACAAGAACACCACTGACATCAGTTGGCAGCTGTATCTTGCAGTGCCTCCATCCAGGCATAGTGAGGATCAGATGAGTCTAAATGGAAATAGTCCTGATAGAGTCGAATTTAAACAAACCAAAAGGCAAGGTCATTTAGACTTCTTCACTTTCGAAAGCGTGAACAAAAATCCCGAAAAATATAGGTCCGGAGAGCTAGTCATAGCATAGCTTGTATCACACTTTTTGGATGTAAACTTCCTCAGCGACATTCTTAGCAACATTATTGTACCGTGTCCTTGATTGATGTTATATCTGACCCTCGTCCCCGCTCCAGTTCCTAGTGCACGAAAAAAGACTCACCAACAAGCAACACAGCAGCCTTACTGCGAACAGGCAATTGCGGAGAAGTACAAAGGTCTCGCGTAGTGTTGAGGGCACTGTATGACCTCGATCCAAGGCTGTCTGATCAGCAGTTGATGAAGTTTGGTGGTCTCAGTAGGTTTTGGGTATTTTGGGATGATCTGACCTTCCTAACAGTTAGCGATAAATCGTTCTCAATAAAACTTCCAACCTTATCGAACAACCATTCACAGGATACGAATGGATTGCACGAATACATTGTTTAAGTAGTTGGGCATCGGGGCTAGCCAAACATCTCGTGGTCTGTGCATATGATGTACTAGTGAAATACTGGATCACTGGAAACACCAGTAGTTGGGATGTAAAACACTCAAACGTGAGGTCTGCGGTTCGACCCCGGCTGCACTCTTCTGTCCAGAATCGGGTAACGTGGTATTAAGTCATGCATCGTGTTTCTTTGGGTCTCACCACAAGGATGTTCATCATTTATCAGTCAACTTATGACATTGGTATCAAAAGTATTGAGTCCTCAGTACGGGTGGAAAAAAGACCAGAATCCAAACTAGTATTCGGAGGTTAGAGTACAATAACACCGTTTGGAGTAAGCGTTTGGTATTTTGTATTTGGTGCCATAGACTAACATAATTAGTGAACTCCGAAACTCCGAAGTTGTCAGTACCGGGCAAATTCGCTCTACCTGGTCAGTCATGTGCAACTTTTGGAAATACTCGCTTTGATCTTCCTGAAATCCATAGTATCCCATCAGCTAACCTTCGACATGCCTTTTTGTATTAGATTACGCTATAGATGCGGAGTTTCGTGGTCCCAATTGGCAGCAGAAACTCCCAAATCAGTTCACTCCAAGGCAAAATCAACCAACCTATAGGTATATGGTTAACCGAGTCCAGAGAACTGCGTATCAGCATCCATTTCCTTTGGGCACAAACGAAGGGATATACAATCGGCAATGGAACAGACAGAATCAACAACAACGAGCTCTTCCACCTTGGAATTTGAAACGCGATCAATCTTTTCCTTTGACTGAGATCAATCTGACCAATCCAAGCTACACTCACCTTGTCTACTACGAACCGACGCCAAACAAATTATTTTGTGAAGCGGAGCCTCAGCTGCATATCACGGGAACACATGGTCGTGTTTGCAATTCTAGCTCACTTGGAGCTGACAACTGTCATCACCTATGCTGCGGGCGCGGTCATCTAACGCATCACTTCTACGTTATGGAGTCATGTCATTGCAAATTCATATGGTGCTGCCGCGTCGAGTGCCAACAGTGTCTGGTACTGAAACGAGTCGAAACTTGCAACTAACTTGAGCTACTCATGAGTAGCCGCTGCATATTTGTAAAATACTTCACCGCGGTGCGCGCTATCGCCCTTGTGTTTGATGATAACTCTCTGTCACAGAGATTCGTTTAGTCCCAAACACTCATCAAGCTATCAATACTCGCACACAGACACACTACCTCTATAAACATGTACATGTGTTCACTGTTTCTATAACGAATGAGATCACATTTAATATTGCACTTGCTGTATTATACGGATAATCACTCAAGCCTGCGTTATTTAGTACGACGTAGTAAAACAGAAGAAAGTGTCGAAATATTTGTAGCCCGAGGGCGTTTACTGGTGGTTGATCGGCTGGTCATTGATCTACAGGATGTCTCATAATAGACGCAAAAAATAATACCCATGTTAAAACTTCAATCTAATTTAAGCATTTATAATTTTTTTATTTGGACATACATTCATCATGGGGGTGTACTGTGAACAAACTGGCATTACAAAAAATGCTGAAAAAATCGCCCCTTCCTTCTACAACAAAATGGAGACGACATGAGATGTGAGACAGGATGTTTAACTTCTTCAAGCGCCACTTGTGCGCACTCCTCTTCAATTCTTGCTCTTAACTCCACCAAACTCTTCGGTTTATTTTCATGATATACACGAGCCTTGATCATTGCACGAAACCAATAATCCAGAAGTGTGAGATCGGGTGCCCTCGCAGGCCAAAAGTTTGGAAATCCACGAACAATGACTGTTACGTCAGAAAAATGCTCACGGAGGTAAGTTCTCACTTGGTTTGAGTAGTGGAGTGGAGCGCCATCTTGCTGAAAGACGGTCGATGACTTCTGGTGCTGCTTGAGTTACGGGATAACTTGCGTCTGCAGCATATGGAGGTGACTGTCGCCGGAAACCGTAGCATCAAAGAAAAAGGGACGCAGGAGACACTTTGAGGAGAATCCCATCCGCACACAGAGATGAGGGGAATGGAGATTATGGGTGAGGTACTCGTGAGGAACTTCACGGAACCATATCACGAAATTGTGCATGTTGATTATGCCGTCCACAGAAAAATTTGCTTCACCGCTCCATAAAATTTTGGGAACGATCTCTTCATTGTCCAGCAGCCAGTTAGCGAACTTGACGCGTTGCTCCTTACTTATTATTATGAGATATCCTGTAGTTCTCCGAGCTTGGAAATTATCTGGCAAAAAATTTTGCCACAGAGAGACATTATCAACACGGCACTGATTATGTCTCCTCCACTGGGTGCTTCATTGTCAGCCAGTTAGCGAACTTGACGCGTTGCTCCTTACTTATTATTATGAGATATCCTGTAGTTCTCCGAGCTTGGAAATTATCTGGCAAAAAATTTTGCCACAGAGAGACATTATCAACACGGCACTGATTATGTCTCCTCCACTGGGTGCAAAACGTCTGCAAGCCAGTTGTGAACTTCGGAAAACAGGTAAATTGTCATCTGATCAACTGCCGGAGCCATTCTGATTTTCCGCACAAGTAGAAATTGGTCCCACTCTCAGTAAGGAAGTATCGTCACTACGATAGTCACATCCAAGTACATTTTCTTGATTCAACACATAGTGCACAAACGATGGATTCAGGCTGAATATATTTGAATCCTCCGTTAATACTAAATATCACTTCCAAATGAGTGAATTTCATCAGTTGCGGAGGATTTTGGTGAATTCCAGCTGAATCACTTGGTGATGCTATGTGGGTACTTCTATATCTCGAACATCGTACTCAGTGGACCTTGAGGTGACTTTGAGCGTTACATCACAAAACTGGGTAGAAAGGTGCCTATTAGACTAGACCAAAAAGAAAGTGATTCACTAAATAAACGAAACAAATACCTTCATCAGACCATCAACATACTGGACATTGATGACAGGTAGGAAAGCATTTTAACAAGAGCAACGAGACCACTGTTTTAGTACACACAAAAAAACGAAGATTCAAGGCGTGAACGCCTTAGAAGAAAATTAGCCATTTCTTGGAGCAAGTAGAGAACCCATTGGAGTGCATTATACGCAGGACTAGGTTGAAAAACGATACCTTTTCGAAAATTACGCTGTGATTTTTGTGGATGGAGCTGACCCGCAGTTTCTGAAGTTTGCAAGTCACTCTTGATTACCACTAGGAAGGTTCCTTATGGTTGATGATTTTTATCAGTCTGTTATTCATAAAATTTCGCTGTACTGTTTTGTTTCACTCTGTATATTGGCGATGTTGTGGAATGTAGGTTGCTCGGGTGCGCTGCTTGGTCTGTTCGCCGAGCTTGGCAGTTGGATTGCAAACGTTTCGTCACCAATTGGGGCGACACCGTCAGTGAAGGGTTGAGTGGCTGAATTCCTCCTCTTCTGCTTGTGATTATGTAGCTTCTAAACAGTAACTGGTAGTTCTGAAAACGGTCGTCGTATTGGTCTCCGACCTACAGACAACTCCACTGTGTTTGTATGGATCATTAGTCTGCTCACCATCTCATAAATGTGTCCTAAAGGCACCATCCAGTGTCCGATCCGTTAGAAGAAATACAACGTGCCTCATTATTTCTTTCCAAAATAGCATCACATGCGTTGTCCAGAAAGGTCATATTAGGAGAACCATCTCCGGATGTAACCGGATTACACAACTGACAATGGAATGACTGTTTCCGTTGGGGCAGATTTAACTTCAGTTGTCCTTGACAGATGGGTTTTATTTTTAGTACCACTTTTTGGCTCACTTACAACTTTCAAGGTGAGCTCTATGAACAGCCCGCGTTCGGCTGCACAGGACACGCCTGTATGCGTCAGTGTTCAATAAATCAACTGATTCGAACGTTCATTGACCTTCTGGTTTGGTTAAGCGCATCAGACTATTAAGTGGCTATCCAGATTCGGGGTCAAGGTATTACGAAAGTATGAAGAAAACTGTGGTCCACGAAAGGTCACAAGCACAAGTTAACTTTTTCACCTACTACCGATGACGTAATTTTCACTGACACAAACATCCATTTTGAAGTAAAGGTTTGGAAGAATCAGAGGTCAAGTTAGGAACCTTCGGAAATTAGGTTGAAACGAATTTACTGCTCAACTAGGCTGCCAATGTAGGTAAGGTAATTCTTTTTTTACAAAACCTCTGCATAATCCCAAGGGAATGTCTGACTACGCATGTGTTTAGAGACTTCATTTTAGTAATACGATAATCACAGGAACGGTGATCACAACCAGCTACAGTGTTATCAAGGCACTACGTAGAGTCGGTCAGCTTGAGCTAACTGGTGTCAACCATACTGGGAGATTGTGTAACCATAAGAATCCACCACAGGCCAATCACCAAGATGGTTAATGACAGAGCAGGCAAAGTAGAGCAAGAAACGCAAGTGTTCTGGGGAAGCAGAGTGGGATCGTCCAGTCCTTCGGCATGTACCTCGCGTCTACAAAGTGCGAACCTACAGTCTTTGAATATCCCCCCCCCAAAAAAAAAAATTCATAGAGAGACACTGGAAGATGTGGAACTCTGTATGAATCTCGGAAGTTGTATTAGCGACAGTGTGATAGGCAAAGTCAGCGCACCAGTGCCAAAGGTTAGAATAGCTTTCGCCAATTATCACCACGTGTGACGTCAGAAAAGCATATCACTGGGTGACAAAGGATGCATGTGATACAGTGTGTGTGGGCCTTGTTGGTGTGCGGCTATCAGACGTAGCACTTTGTCTTTCAAGGTACTATTAAGTAGGACAAATATTTTGAATCGAATTACCTTATTCATATCAAACAAAAATCGGGCAAACTGTGTAGTTGTCTATCACATGCAAATAAAAAACTAGCCCAGATTTTGTACACTACTAAAAATACAAGTAGTGGACGGCTCGTTAGATGGCATTGAGTGTTACACAAGTGGAATTTCCGAGTAGAATCGATCCAGAAAACTCACAGTAATATCAAGCCACCTCAAAGAAACAGTGAGTCAACTTACCTATGCCCACCATTTGGCTAACATACAAAAGTAACTAAAACCTGAAGGAGACCAGTCATAAAGCTGGTGAGAATTCTTCGGCCTTATGAGTAGATTCCCACACGAAAATATACTGCGATATCTCGATGTGGCTTCTGCGCAGTACATTCAGTTACAAAATATCACGAACGAGAGTTCAATCAGGATTTAGTTGCACCTACTGTGAAAAACGAATGTGTGCAAATTAGTGAATTTGTCTAACCGAAATCTGATAATGAATGACGAAAACGTTTGCCAACTTTGATGGTTTTTCTTAGCATTAGGGTCTCAGCGACTGACAGCTTGTACTCTGTTGTACTTTCAGCAGCCAGGCCTGCATCTATAAAAGAGTTCACCTAGGTCCTGTAACCGTATTTGATATTCACTTTACTCACACCCGAAGGCCAGATTTACCACACAAAAACCTATCGACCCGCAGCAGTTGACTGTGGGTAGTGAGAGAAATATAAGTAGTTTTTAACTGAGATTTCGTCTCGTAAATGAATCTAGTCTATATATCTTGTCTGAATAAGATTTCCTCGCAATGCTGGACGGCTGCTAGTGTAGGAACGCTTAAGTGCTCAAACTGATGGTCGGGAGATAGCGGTTTTCAAACTCCGTACTCGAGTTTCGTGAAAGGATTATTCCCAGCAAGGATAAAATGCATGCACAGCTTTTCGTCATATGCCCTCTTTACATACAGAACGAAATTGGAGATTTCCAAATATTTTCACATCACCAGCAATTAGGTTTTGTCTTGCGATTTGTGGTCACCATCATCTTCATCATCATGGGTGCACGTGGAATGAAATACTGCCAGGGCTCCGAAACTCAGATAGGAGGACGAATGACGTCCTCAAAAGCTCGCCCGCAAGACAGCGGTGCTTGGATGAAAATGCAAATACTTTAAAACTTTTAAATAATAAATTTCTACATGTTCCAACTCCTAACCTGGAGGGCCAGGTTCAGACTTCCGGCAAGGCAAAAACCTGGCACGAGAGGCTTGTGAGGGTCGCACGGATCAATTGGGGGGCCGCGAAGTCCAATCTCTTCCTGACGGAGATTTGTGGTTGGTGCTCGCGCGGACGCTTCAGACTTCCGGCAAATGACCAACCTGGCACGAGAGGCTTGTGAGGGTCGCACGGATCAATTGGGGGGCCACGAAGTCCAATCTCTTCCTGACGGAGATTTGTGGTTGGTGCTCGCGCGGACGCACTGCTGACCTTTCACGGTCGTTCGTTATGTTTGACTACGCGGGAGTTCCTTAAATGGACAGTCCAATGAATGCCTCTGAAATTATCGAAATCGGTCAGTGGTTGAGACATTTCTGCGTTTTAGCCGTCGCGGATACCATAATGAACAAATCGATGCATGCCTAACGCGCGAAACATGTTTAAAATCTGCACAAAGATGGCTCCAAATCGCGTAGAATTAGAACAGACCTGTGCTGTCATTTTTAGCCTCCACACGGTTTTCAAGCCAAACTACAGAACAGGATGACTCATTGGAAGGGCGCTGTCGCAAACTCATCAGATTTGGGACAGTACTACGATACTCGCGAGTGATTCGGCTGCACATCACAAGACCTGTGTCACAAAATCAGGGTGATTAGCTTATGTGAGAACAAAATGTTCTGCCAAGCTGCACTCATGCTGACGTCAGGATATTTATAATTAGCCTCCGCAAAAAACAGTTACTTTCCAGACAGAACGTACAACTCATAAGTTTATTGAAATACCCAATGAGCAGTGTGGCCTGCCAGGAACATTTCGAACATCGGACCAAGTAAAATATGAGACCAGCTTTGAACACCTAGCATTTCAGGCATGCTTTAATTGAGATTCCTCTCTATGTCAAATTAAATCTGCAAATGCGTGTAGCTCGCCAAATGCGCATACTTTGGTGTTCATTTCGAACATACAGTTCATGGAGGCAAAATCGATCAGCGGTTGTTCAAAAGCTTTCAGTAACCTTAAAATGTGCTGTGAAATTTCGAATGTCGCAATAAATGGAACATTTAGGGGTTCTTCTGCAGCATGGTCAACTAAAGAATATTATATAAACGACAGTTCCACTGGGGATCAAGCTGTGTCTTGATTTCACGCAAAATTAATTTTCAAGTGAGCGTATTTCTTATATTCACTTTTTCCTCGACAGTTTCACATTAATAATGGCTAAAAAACCTAGTATCTACAAGTGATATCTGCGTCAACATCCAGCCGAACTACAGATTTTTCGAGTGAAGAAACCGATTGGGTCTGACTGCTCTCTTTTGTTAATATCCGACCATCAAACGGTACACGGATGTCATGTCATTAGTCACGTGAAGAAGTCGAGGCACGTGACTTTCGAAAGTATCATCGATCTAAATTCTCCGCTTGTCATTCTCTCAGCTGAATTATGCTAAGCTAATCGTGATATGTTGAAGGAGCTTTGAGGAATGAGGTACTTTCCAAATGGTTAAATGTCGTTGATCGATTAGTGAACAAATTCTATTCCAATGCCTCACTGGATTTTTCGACTCGGTCGTTTGTTTCGCTTGAGAAGAAAACGTTTAGCAACCGAAGATCCTCCAAGCATTCATGAAGAACAGGTTCATCGTACCGTTGAACGTAAACCAATGAAGCAACTAAAAACCCTTGGTGATGTTGTTGATCATCTTGAAAACTCTGAAGATTTAGAGAAGAAAGAAATTGGACAGCCTCTATTAGGCAAAGAAATGACCGTGCGTACAGATAAAAAGGATCACAAACCCACATCTCTGCCAGTTTCCAGAGCTCTGTCCCTCACGCTTCCAGCAACCTGTGGGCACTTCGTCAGCTCAGACTGCTCTGTTGATAGTAAAATTTGGGAATTTACTCGACGAAGTCAAAATATTCCACAGCTGTTTGGCTCAGTTAAAGCCCATTCGGCTGAATCGATAAATGGTAGAAAGCCAGGCATAGAAAAAACAGCTACTTGGAGGCACAACTCGGATGTGACAACACAAAGAACTACCGAAGCTCCAACCATAAGCATAACCGAGTCTAGTCAGAAAAGTCCAAGGCCCAATTCGAGAGGAGAAATGCGTGAACCTTGGCCACAGCATACATTGCTTCACATTACTCCCGGGGGTGAGGTAAAGCACAGTCGACGACGTATATCTGAAGTATGTGACTCAGAAAAAGTTATTGAAGGTCCTGTGTCTATACTAGTAACGAAACCTCCACCAGAATCACACCGAAGTTTGGAAGACTTCATTGAAAGTCTGATCCCAGCAAATGATCCAGAAAAGCCCACCAGAATACCCCCATTAGATGCCAAGATGAATGTCATCAGAGTAGCACGAGACAGTCTGGTTACAAAATCAGAAGAACGCTCAATTCCGGCTATACCGGACACCATGGAAATAGAATCGGTCGAAGCTATGGATGCTTGTGCTACATCACCGATCATTCCGCTGGAAAGGATTGTGCCCGACAAGAATACCAAGAACGGAGACACGTCCACATCAGCTAGTTCCGAGCAGCAGCAAAGACAACAAATACAGAGTTCCAGCGACGGGTATGTGGAAAGGGATCCATCAAAAAATGAGATCAGAAGGATGAGACGACGAAGTAGGAAACTGAGAAGCACGAGGAAGCTGAAACGTCGACACCGAGCGTCCCAAACATCGGAGGAAGAGATGGAAGGTAATGAGCATGGGCGGTCACCTTCTACTGGTGCTTTGTCCAGTGGTAGTATGGATAGTGGGTGGTGTAGACAAGTTTGCGATAAAGACAGGATGATCAGAAAACTTTCCCGAACTGGTGAGCGCACGTGTGTTAGACGAACTTACGGATCGTGTCGCCGTTGTACTTTGAGAGCAGGCATTTTCGATTGTACTGATCGTACGGACCACTGCGCTGTAGTCCAAGATTTGCCGCTGGCATGCAGTCAAGGTGTGAGAATTAAAACAAATCAAGCAGATGTGATGCTCGAGGATCTTATCAGTAGCCTGGCTCGGGATGTGGCTGGTAGCATATTGTCCAGAGCCACTTATGCAAAATCGATCAGCTCTCGGACCCATCGGCGAACAGCTTTGCTATTAAGAGCTCTACTTGGTTGCCAATATCCTGGAACTCCGGACTCATCGAGCGCTAGTTTGTCTGTTTTGTCTAGTTCACAGAAATCGATATCTCACACGAATGATTAGAAACTTCTTGCCACAATTCAGCCTTTGTCGACCCGATTCTTACCCGGCTTTTGACCACAGGCAACCATACCAAAGTGATTTTTTTTTATTTTTGCACAACTGTTTGACTCGCCATTTTTGTCTCACTTCTTTAGCGATTGATTTCGTACACCTTCATTTTATGGCAGAATTATTTTATTTATACCGCTTTTCAGTTGAAGTGTTGAAGAAAGTGTTAGAGATAGACGAATTTCTGCGCATAACGTTTTTCTAGGCTTACTGACGTTTCTATTCGGTACAATTTTCTGCCATTCATAGGTAGTTGATATAAAAACATTACGGGAAGCTGGATAAAACTAACACTTGTCATGTGGTAACGATGGTAATATGCATGAAAAACTATCGTCATGTACCCAGTTCATAATGTACAGACTTTAGTCTGTGTACAATGCCGTCTGTTAAGCACGTGGAATGAGGGGTAGTCTGAAGATGTAGGTGATGCGTTTGTTTGCTTAGGGTTCTTGTTTTTTAATAGAGCCGATGGTGATGATGATGTTGATGGTGGAGAATCGCTGGAAATGAAGACGGTGGAGACCATGTTAGTTACAAGAATTTGGCGACCAAACGACTCACCTGGTGAGCGCTCACATGGCTGGCTGATGTTCTTCCCGAGGATCCTAGACAAATGTTCATAAGAGTGCGGGTAGACCACCGTTCATTCTATAGGTCTTTTATGCGTGAGCATCTCCATAGCTTCGCTGGATCTATGTTAATAGGAGCGCACGCTGACATGGCTTTGGAGCCTGCAAGACATAACATACAGTTAAAGCACTTGATTTTCCGTTTTCCTCTCAGTAAATTTGCTTTACGACTGACAAGACAATCAGCTTAAAATTCTGAACCCGGTGGGCTTAGTTTGTCGTCGCTGAAAAGTCAGAAACAGCAAACTGAGCAGCTTCGTTTGTGAGCTTGGGATTAAACGTACTTTGAAATAGGATTATATAGCCACCCCATCTTCAAGCATAAAGTTCATAATTTTTAAATTCAGAGGCCTGAGATCTCAAAATTAGCTAAGTCTAGTAGAAACATCCTACAGGTGAATGTCAGTTTTGTACCAAAACGAATAGTTAAAAAAATAACCCAAGTTAAGGGATAAAATTCAACTGCTGATTCAATTTTTGACCAGAAACGACTAGTTGCATGTCTGTCACCAAAAAGAAAACATAGGAAAAAACTAGAAATCACGGATGATTTTCCTTGTTTCTCTTATGCTACCTTGTCTAACCGATCTCACTGTAAACATTTCATATGAATTCAAAGTCAGGGGTTAATAATACAGATGATAACCACACTACAATGGTCCCCAGACCTGCTTCCCCAAATAAATGTCATACGTCAAGTTCAGAATGAATTCCCAGAAAAATTTTCCGGGCCACGTTACACCATGAGAATGTGGTTTACTTTCGGGTTTACCTGAATCGAATGCAATCATTTTTCCCAGCTGTCGCTGTTTCCTCTGCTTGTGCATTGGTAAAATCTGTATCCTTGCATTCGGACAGCTAGGTATGTGTGCGACAAGCCAGGAAGCCGTCACCTCAGTTTACACCCAATCAGGATAGACCGTCGACGTATATGCGTGTTTGCATGAGTCATGCAAATCACGTGCCGCACTTGGCCCATATTGGTATTGTGGTATCGACTGCCTTCACACGTGATCGCACGCCACTGGTACGATGTACTAACGTTCGCTTGGCCGGTCTGTGATGCTGGTGGATATAGGTTGACGCCTTTCGACTTAGCATTTGGATCGGGTACTGGCACATATGTGAACGAATTTCCTTAGATGTGAAGAAAAAAACAAACTGAAACTGTCAAGATTCGTTTTAATACCATCCGATGCAGCTAGTTAACAGCAGGACGAATCACTTGTGTTCATAAATTTTCCCTTTTCCCACCCACTAAACAGACATTCTGCTTTTCAAGGGAGAATGTGTAGACCATCACCATACACTAATAACTCAGTTGCAAGGCAGAGCCATTTACCCGCTAGGATTTCATCAAACCAGCCGTAAAAAGATTCCCGAAATTGGTGTCGACAAGAGGTCTATATTATTGAAACAACAAGAGGACTCTGTAAAACTTTGCTGACTTCAAGAGTCTAAAAATCCAAAAAAATATCAATAAAGATGTCTTTCCTTTTTTGTGAGTTTGTCGTAAACCATTTTACTAATCACTGAAAGAGCAGTTGCCCAGCTGAGTTTATGTTACCCAAAGCTCTCCCTTAACCTACGGGAAACAGAAATCCTCGGCGAATGAACATGTGGCGGTTGGAACCATTTTACTTCCGTACACATATTATTATACGAGAAACTGAACGAAACAGAGCTGCCAAAGCACGCATGTAGCGGTTATTTCCAAACGTTTTAAACGCTGACCATGTGACCTCTCTAGTGACCACATGCAAAATACAACCCTCATCGTCAGGGCATTGGTGAAGTAGCAAAATGCTACCAACACAAAGAAGGAGGTAAGAAAATTCTTATCCGAATTAATAGGCCTCTCAAAAAGGATCTCTTGGAGTATTACTAACCACTGTGTTGTGGGTGGATTTGAAAACAAAAGCAATATTTTTCAACGCAAGGTGACTGAACATTTAATTAGAAAAGCGATATCTGGTATCCTCGGGAAACTAACCCTACCCCCAGATGGCCAGATCAATACTGCCGGGTCTCGTTTGCAATCAGCCCTGATTTTACTGTGCGTGAAACACAATGCAGTCTCCATAGGGTAGGTCTGTGAAATAACTTCGCCAACAGAAGCTATCTGTGTCTATGTGCTGACTGGATTAAGTAAATCTGGGCATACTGGTAAGCGCGAATTGCACGCTGACAAGGCCATAGCAGGAACATAGAGGGACCTCCGCTGAATTCTTTCTAGACCTAAAACTTCACAAAAAGTAGCGAGATTTCAGCATCACCTAGGATTTAAGCCGATTTTTTGGTGGACAACTATTCAACATAGATAAAATATATCTTATTTGGCGTGTATACTTGGTAGTAAACATCTGCTTATAATGCATCTTGTGGGCTCAATCAATCAAGGTTTACAAAAAACTTATCGGTGAATTCGCTGTTCTTGCCACGCCACTGTTACTTCCTTTCGTACTAAGGAGGGAGGAAACTTGGCTTCTGGTAGCTCGCAAAGCCAGATATAACTAGATTTCGTTTAAACACAACTGTTGAACAAATGTGTGAATTGGGGGAAATTTCCTGCAATTTGGATTCAGGTGAAACACAAGGCTGACGAAAATACAGGGGATCTACCTACCTGATGAGTTCGAGGTGAAGAGTGAAAACGACTGTGGGCTGTTGAAGAGTTTACAGCATACTTGTGAGTAGTTTCCTTCAACATACCGATGACTTTCTTCGTTCTGGAGGACAGTCACAAAGCCGCTAGGTTGAATGCTTCAGACACTGATTCAAGCACCGTTTATCTATCGAGAAAGACACGGGTGCCATGTGTCTTCTACAGCAAACTTACGAGTAGCTTCCTTCATGAAAATATACTGCGATATCGCGAATATCGTACCAACTAAAACATGAGGCAGCCTGTATGTAGCACATTCAGGTGTAGAATATTATAAACGGGAGATTCAGTTGAGTCTCTCGTAAAAACCAAATTGATACGCAAATGAGTGTATTTCCCGAATTTATGGTTCTGTTTAAAAAGTCTTGCACTAAGTTCCGTTTAAATGCTATGGGGCAGAAATATCTAAAGTAAGAAAATTTTCACTTCCTGGAAAAAGTGTAAAGAGAGATATGAGTAACTAATCTCTGTTCATCTATAGGTGGAAATCTATGGTGTGAATAGAGTTCATTACCTCATGCCCGACTAGCAACGTCTGGTAACGATGTATTGATTTTTACGCGTGTGAGACACGTTGAATGCCATTTCATGTAACAGGTGCATTAACATGAGCGCTTTCTAGATGGAATGACGTAATTTGTCCGGCGAATACTACCTCATTTGCACTCTTTCTGGTGGCGCAGCAGCTAGGCACCGAAAGGTTGCTACAGCTGAATTCATGTTCGATCGTCTGCCGATGTGTGCCGATTTGCTATGGGGAATGAGCAAGAGTGATACTGAACTGGTGTTTTGCCGAGGCCACAGCGACGTTCATTGTTGCCTCTACAGTGCTGCGGGCACCAAACGCACATATGCGAAATGTGGTGCGCGAATCGGACGCTAAGATATGAGGATACAGTGGTGTTACACCAGGCTGAGCCATGGGTAATTATTCTTTGAAGCTGAATCATCCCTTTGGTAGCATTCTGAAATGCTGGGATTTTTTTATCGAGGAACGCCTATTGATTGTTGGGATTTCCATGAAACTTCTTGGTTCATTATCAAAGTGCTTTGCAGTCCAGCGGCAATGGACCAGAATGTTTTGCTAGTACAAAGCTCGCAGTTTGAACGGAAGATTTCCTTCCCTCCCCACCATCGACGCTGCGTTCGGTCCTTCCATGCAACCCAGCAGAAGCTACGAATCTGTTGCTGAACTTGGACAGGTTTCATCGACTGCGTCCTTCCGCAGCATGTTGTTTGTTCCAGTTTGCATAGTCTCTCTGTATCATCTCGCTAAGGCTAGCCGTTACACAGTGTATTTTGGATCGTCCAGCGTGACAGCACCTGTCATCGTTGCACCCGAGCGACAGAAAGCTTAAGTTCCTGGTCTTCATTTGTCTGCAACACTCACCGAACCAAGAAGGAAGTAATGTTGGAGCTCTCCAGCGATAGAACTCACACCAGACGTAGGTCTGTAGGTGTGTACATTCGTAAGAAGACTCAATGTACTGACTGGATGCTTGGAAATCTGAGCCAGCTCTTCGGGTTTCACGGAGTGCAGCGGTGTTACAGGTGCGAGTCTGAACTAACACTCGCACTACCAGTCCAACTATATCAGACAGCTGTACATGGAGCTGCTTCATGCATCACACAAACCGTAGAATCGTTTGAGAGGATAGTGTGAAGCACTTTCAGGGTGTGACACAAAGTCAAGTAAGTTAATTGTGGTTGGATTTTGAGAGAAGCACGCAAGGTTTATTGTCTGTTATTTTGGCCAATGAGTGTAACCGTCTCCAGGAGTGGAATGTCCGTAGTCAGTGGCCGAATTCAACATAACTTGCGTGGGGTTGGTCCGACCACTGCCTAATCCTGACCAGACATCCTTTTTACGGTAGCTGTCAGTTTTTTTTGCTGATTATTCGGCTCCTGGAAATGATCACGCCAAACGGCAAGCCCCATCATTTCAACATTGTGTTATTCCGTTCTATTACAACCAAACTAATCGTTTGACGGAACATTAAATCTTTTCGATTTTATCCTCACCGAATTTGGTGTGGACATTTTAGAGTAAATTAAATTGTCTAATTCGGGGCAGAACTAAGTTATACAGAAGCCTCTGAAGACAGATCGGATAGCTTCGAACTATGCCAAGCGTTAGCAATAACAGGATAGAACCAAACTTCCATGAGCACAATTCTAGAGGCTCGAACAGTACATACTTCGCAAAAGGAGGTTTCTTTCGCTTGATAACTGAGCCTTACCTGCAAGCAACTTGCTTGTTTGAAACTCAACATGCTAGGTTCACGAGATTTTAGCACGCAACATCTGTTGTTCATTCCAGATAACTTCACTTCTCTATTCATATCCCCTTTAATACCGTGAATGATCATCGGTAGAGTACAGTGAAGTTTACAATAAAAGGAAATTACAAATATCACTCTTCGTAATCAATGTAAAGTCTTACACATGCCCTTCTTTACCGGCTGACACTTGATGGACACTGGAATATGTGACCCGAGAAGACAATATATTTTCTTGATGAGTAACTTAACATGGTAAGCCTCCCTCTCTGTGTCTCCCCGTTCTAGCATGAAAGCCCTTTTTAGGCAATACGGATGTCTCAACGATGAGTTGTAGGAGAATAGCGAAGAGTCTGTCGGTTCGAGATATCTCTTATTGAGTAGTCCCTCATGGATTAGGTTCACCGTACATCTATGCGTAGGTTACTCTTATTTTATTTTATTACAAGCTCCGTTTTTCCTTGCAGAAGTAGGTGGGTCTTCTCAAACGCTGATCTACCAAGATGCTGTACTCTTTTTCCTCAAATTGCTCGAGATAGTTCACTGGTTAAGGCGCGAAACTACTCACCGGAGTCCATGGTTATAACCCAACCTCAGCATTCCGGCTGCTCCTGTCTAGACTTGGGTAACCTGAGATTATTTCAGCTTCCTTCGGGTGACATGGAAGTTATATCTACTGGAATCCTGATTTCACTCGCAGTGCTTACTTTATTGTAGTATTGTAACCAGTAAGCTTAGTACTTGGGTCCGGCGTACAAATGGCCTCAAAGCTGTAATCTCGGAAAACATCAAACGGGACCCCATACCAAGGACACGGTCTGACAGACTGGTTGCGACTGGAGCTTCTTGCGAAAAGATTCAGCAGATTCGCTATTCACTTGACATTTCGACAAAAATCTGGACCTGTCTGATGCTGAGTGTTTGAGTCTGTCTGTTGTATACGGCCCAGGTCTAGATCGATCGAAATGAGCGTGAACCTTGCCATCGGATGCTGTGCTTTGACAGGTGTGATTCCAGAATTCAGTTCATCCCCAAGCTCCATTGTGCCCATAGGCTTAAAAACAAACCGGAATCTGCCTGTGCTCTGAAAGGCACAACATTTCTTTCCATCAGTATGCTTACGCTCCCCATAAATTTTCAAAGGTGTTTTATGTCAGTGTCCTCTCAGCTGCTAAGCAGCACGCAAAATCGAAAGAACCGCATTGTGGAATAAATGGATCGAAGAGACTTTGGTAGAACCAAATTTAACAGTACAATCAAAGTATCTAAAGCATAAAGTTTATAAGTTTCCATGTGTAACCAAATTTGAAATAATCGAATGTCGAGGGGGAACCTATTTGAAATAGTTTACTGCAGCGGTCAAGGGAATAATTAATATCGGCTTCGCCGAATCGATAGGCGCTTACGCCTTCGCAGGGAGGAACGCTTCATCGGGGATTTTGAAAATGACCTTCCTGTTTGTATGACCTTTCCCATTACTCCAGGCGACAAGAAATCTGAAGATGGATAGTATTGTCGACGTTTACGAAACGGTAATAAAGCCGAGGCGAAATCCAGTACATCTTCCAAAGCGCCAAATATGGAATATGTCGAAGGTGGACGATAGCCCGCAGGAGATGTTTGTCTGCTGAATCGGAGAAGGTGGTCATCGGTTTGAATACATTTGTCTTGAGCTTGGTGTTGCACTTGGAAGGGGGGAGGTTCAACCCGTGGAGGGGTACAGTAAGGCTCCGCTTTAGCAGTGGAATTCAAACGGACAAATGATTCGTGGCAGCCTTCCGCAATGGGAAGCAATTTGGTAATAGAATGATCGTGACGGGGTATACTTGCACCGGAACGTTTTGAAGAGGGAAGCGAGGACCACTCAGGTTTCGAAAGTAAGTCAGACTCGTGACTCCTTTGAAAGGGTCCGTCATATCCTGAAGCATCCAACATAGTCCGCAACATGGTACTTCCGGCGGGTGAAGTAGTTAGTGGTGTAGCCTTCGGTACAGACAACGTATCCAGTCTCGGTGCGCTAAAGTCCCCTCCCGTAGGTTTAACTGGAGCAGTTGGATGAGATTCGGACAACCCTGTGGGTGTTGGTATTGATTTACATGAAATTTGTGTTGGCGAACGCTTTTCACTGGAAAAACAAGAGGCGGCATTCCCACCTGGTTTGCACTTTCCATTCAGCACTGATGTCAGAGGTCTACTGTCAGGATTGCTTTCAAGCGAAAATCCACGCCTTTGCAATATGTTCTCACGAAAATCCAAACGACCGAGATGATTTTCTGACTTCATCCTCTCAGCCACACATCTTAATGTCGGTAAATTTGGAGAAGGACAAATAATACTGTCGCAATCACCATTGTGTGTATAGTCTCGCAATAAGATAGATTCACCAGCATTCATTATCGGACCGGCAAGTTTGTCAACCCTGGATACTGGTGATCGACTTTGACCAATGATGAAATCTTCCGTTGGTGGAGGCAAAGGGATCGACAACAAGGATTCGGTTCTAAAGGTTGAATCCACACACTTTCTGCTTCCCGCCCTTCTGCCCTGCGATGACGTTGATAACTTGTTCCATCCAAACCCTGTTGTTGGTCGGACAGATTGCAGGCAGGAACTATGACTCCGGGTGGTTGATTGAGAGTAGTGAGGTAATACACCATTGTGCAGCAAAGGAATTTGTCTTGGGTGATCATAACATGAGGTTCTGTCCGAACTACAAAACATAACATTGATGGACAGCTTAGCTTCCTTAACCAGAGCTTGCTATACTGTTCATTTCTTGCGCATGTGTGGTCTGGACCCTGAGGCGGAATCACATGGGGTGGCGGAAAGCAAACTGACTGCACCAATCGTGTATTATTGATCGCTTTTTCAAAATGACAGGAGATTTCCTATCCAGCCATCATTAGATGATACTTGCGTAATGGCTTTCTCTTTTGCGCGACATTCCTCGATAGAAAACCGCATTAGCAATCAGAGTTTCCACAAACCAACAGTCAGGAAAGAGGTAGATTCAATTTGGAGCTGGGCTAGCAAGTCATACAATAGAAAGTCAACTTAATTTACCATAATCTCGTCCAAAGTTATACCCATTAGAAAGTTTGGATATAGGAGGATTTTGGATATACACATTTTTATGGATAAGTTAATAGTATTACTTCACAAAATACAGACGTTTAAAAAAGGTCATTCCCAGTTTCGTTTATTGCCGTGGAACAAGATCGTTTATCTGACGAGTTCATACTGAAATCATTTGATGGCAACGACCGCAATGTAGTAAATGAAATGAGTCAACCTATCCTGGCTCGAGATTGTCTTGAATCTCGCGCTATCTCTATTCACGGAATAATTACTCTTGTTCGACATCCTATCCCAGCTTGATTCCCTGTCAGTTCGACAACGGAACTGTGTTGCATCTGACCTATCCGGAAATTCTCAATGAATAATCGTATTATTCACACGACATCCGTATAGAATTACTTTTATACATGCGATCGTTTTTGTGAAGCGAAATTTTTAGACCAAGCCATGTTAGACACAAATCCTGAAGGAGGATATGATAGCTCTCCGTAATGATGTTTTGCAGATAGTTTTGACTGCCAATGCAACAAAACAAATCAGAGGGGTGGAGGTTTGCGTTGAGCTGTCATTAGGAATACTCAAATACCTTGAAGAATTCAGGTTCACAAAATGATGCGTTCAGGTTCATCTTCCCTCCTTCTCGATTTACGTGTAATGTAACCTGATGTGCCCCCTCCTGTACAGCGCTCTCGTTTGTCACAGTCCAGGACTGAACATCGCCAGCACTGAAATGTAATATGTAAGATCAGACGTTCATAGTCCGATCGCAGTGTATCAGTCGCACCCGATGTACTGGTAGCAAACAGGGAATTACTTGGCAGAAAATTGTTTATAAGACATAAAGCAAGAGAGACAGACTTATAAATAAGGGAAATGCACCGCACGGACTCGAATCTAAACAAGCACGTTAAACCAATCAAAGTGATATAGAAATCGTTACAGTTGGCGAAATAAGTTTGCCTTGTTGAAAGAGACTACGACTTTAGAAGAGTAGAAGATTCATCATCATCATCATTGTCAGCCATAAAGACCGCGTACTTGTCGTACAGTGGTTGTAGCTGCCACAGTTTCGTTCACCGATGATTTGGTGGGATAGGTAGCTGCCCATTGGAGGCAGGAGCTGATAAATTAGTGCGTAAGTACAGCACTGTAGGTGGGACTGTTGAAGGGGGGGTTGGGAAGGGAGCCATGCATTGAAGGCAATAGCTTGGATGAATGAGTGCAATTGAGAGCATGACTGGGCCATGGTTGACAATGTCTCCAACCACTGATATGGCTCGTCACAGGGTCCCCATCCAGGAAGACGGCAATGACCACCGCAAGAAGAAGAATAGAATCAAAGTCCATAGACATGCCAATGTCGATTCAGCCATCGGCTGCTTCCATAGGGATGGAACAGAACTGAAATTGTCACCGACTCGACAGACCAGCCTTCACTATAAGATCACACTATCAGATGTGGGTAGATTTGTGCCTCCGTCGTTTTATACTCATATTTGTAGCGGAAAACCTGGGGCCGGGAAAATTAAGTTAAAGTCAAACTCTGTTCCACGCTAATCGAGATTTGAACTGGTTTGTTTGTTGGGAATCTCGCAAAATCCATTGGTTTTTTTCAGTACTGATAGGCTTACTGTATTTGTTCCGATCTGGTTTTGTTCGGACAGCCCAGAAATTTGCACGCTGTGCGTCTCATCCGTAATCAGCAAAAGCTTTCCACTCATATCCAAGATTCACCAATTGCCCTGTTGTGACTATCGTTGCACCGGGCAGCTCCAATCCTTTCGGAAGCAAAAACTTATTCGGTTTTTGTTACGGAGTCAAGGCATTTGAGCATCGGTACACCAGTTTTCCCGGCTTCTTGTGACTAGGTTCATGTGAGTGTGAAACTCTTTGACCCAGTCTACACGAAAAAGCTGTGAAGTTGTCGTCCGAGCTGTTCACTAACCTTGGCATTTCCGTTTACATATAGGTTTCGCCAGCAGGGGATAACCTTTGGTTATGCTTGGCTTTTTGGATAGTTATTCCATCTGGTTGGTGAACTGACTTGTTCTGTCATTGGTCGGCGTATGGATGCAACGATGCTACTACTGATGGGGAGGCATGCGAGTAGTATGGTCTCTCGTAGATCCACTTTGCGTCTCTTGGAAAGTGAGATCATTTGCGGAATTTGTGGAGCCACTTTGTAAAATTTGCTTGGATTTGAGCAACAGTTAATCAATATTCAGGAAAGTTCGGAGATACGCATTCAAAGAGAAGATGGATATTCAGTTTCTGTACAAAAAAAGATGCAAATGAGGGTTTTGCTTCCCTGTTCATTTGTCTGTAACTGTTTAGTTAGCATTTTCTGATAAATAACTCCGCAGAAAAGGCCTTCTTCCTCGAATTTGACCTCCATGATCCGTACCCGGTGATTTTTTGCTCCGTCGATTTCATTGTTGGTGGACCGAGAAAGCACGTCACCACATAATCAATTCTTCCCTTACTTTCTGTCGCTCCACCCGGATCCCCATAATTCTCTGAACACTATGTCGTTCCAGCTCCAACATACGAGATCGAATATTTCATTGTTCTGAAGTGCACTTCGTCGCTGAAAACTTTCGAACACTTCAGTTTCCTTTGCGATAACTAATTAATTATTCGAGGCATGTTTTAGCAATCATCTTGTGGTCTGGTTTATTTCGAATCCGGCAGTCCGAAAAATGTTTAAGTTTACTTACAGAAGCACAGCTGCACACGCTCGCAATATTATAAAAGCACTCACCAGTGTCTAGAAATGTGAATCTCCGAAATTTATGCCTAAAAGTACGACTTGTACCTTGATTCAGGTCGGAAGTTACGGCAATTGAGTGAGAACGTCAGGACAGAGTTTGCTGGCATTCGATATTAGGGGCACCGACCAGCATCAGCTTGACTGTCAGGGTTACAGTCTACTGTGTTAGAAGAAGAATAGAATCAAAGTCCATAGACATGCCAATGTCGATTCAGCCATCGGCTGCTTCCATAGGGATGGAACAGAACTGAAATTGTCACCGACTCGACAGACCAGCCTTCACTATAAGATCACACTATCAGATGTGGGTAGATTTGTGCCTCCGTCGTTTTATACTCATATTTGTAGCGGAAAACCTGGGGCCGGGAAAATTAAGTTAAAGTCAAACTCTGTTCCACGCTAATCGAGATTTGAACTGGTTTGTTTGTTGGGAATCTCGCAAAATCCATTGGTTTTTTTCAGTACTGATAGGCTTACTGTATTTGTTCCGATCTGGTTTTGTTCGGACAGCCCAGAAATTTGCACGCTGTGCGTCTCATCCGTAATCAGCAAAAGCTTTCCACTCATATCCAAGATTCACCAATTGCCCTGTTGTGACTATCGTTGCACCGGGCAGCTCCAATCCTTTCGGAAGCAAAAACTTATTCGGTTTTTGTTACGGAGTCAAGGCATTTGAGCATCGGTACACCAGTTTTCCCGGCTTCTTGTGACTAGGTTCATGTGAGTGTGAAACTCTTTGACCCAGTCTACACGAAAAAGCTGTGAAGTTGTCGTCCGAGCTGTTCACTAACCTTGGCATTTCCGTTTACATATAGGTTTCGCCAGCAGGGGATAACCTTTGGTTATGCTTGGCTTTTTGGATAGTTATTCCATCTGGTTGGTGAACTGACTTGTTCTGTCATTGGTCGGCGTATGGATGCAACGATGCTACTACTGATGGGGAGGCATGCGAGTAGTATGGTCTCTCGTAGATCCACTTTGCGTCTCTTGGAAAGTGAGATCATTTGCGGAATTTGTGGAGCCACTTTGTAAAATTTGCTTGGATTTGAGCAACAGTTAATCAATATTCAGGAAAGTTCGGAGATACGCATTCAAAGAGAAGATGGATATTCAGTTTCTGTACAAAAAAAGATGCAAATGAGGGTTTTGCTTCCCTGTTCATTTGTCTGTAACTGTTTAGTTAGCATTTTCTGATAAATAACTCCGCAGAAAAGGCCTTCTTCCTCGAATTTGACCTCCATGATCCGTACCCGGTGATTTTTGCTCCGTCGATTTCATTGTTGGTGGACCGAGAAAGCACGTCACCACATAATCAATTCTTCCCTTACTTTCTGTCGCTCCACCCGGATCCCCATAATTCTCTGAACACTATGTCGTTCCAGCTCCAACATACGAGATCAAATATTTCATTGTTCTGAAGTGCACTTCGTCGCTGAAAACTTCCGAACACTTCAGTTTCCTTTGCGATAACTAATTAATTATTCGAGGCATGTTTTAGCAATCATCTTGTGGTCTGGTTTATTTCGAATCCGGCAGTCCGAAAAATGTTTAAGTTTACTTACAGAAGCACAGCTGCACACGCTCGCAATATTATAAAAGCACTCACCAGTGTCTAGAAATGTGAATCTCCGAAATTTATGCCTAAAAGTACGACTTGTACCTTGATTCAGGTCGGAAGTTACGGCAATTGAGTGAGAACGTCAGGACAGAGTTTGCTGGCATTCGATATTAGGGGCACCGACCAGCATCAGCTTGACTGTCAGGGTTACAGTCTACTGTGTTTGACCACAGTTGCTTCCGAAGCACCGCGCGAATCTGGTGAGAAAACCAGATCAGTAATGCTGACGTAGGCCAGATGGTTTTCGGGAAAGTTAATTCTCCTTCGTTATGTCAACTGGTCACACCC